TCTCTCCCTACCTAGGTGAAGGCTGTCATGAATAGAATGTCAATTGAACTGTCACTGTTGACTAGGACCCTCTTAACCTGGTAGTTGTCTACCATCAGGGTCAAGATTAGAGGGTCATCATGTGGGACCTGAATTCTATCGAGGTCCCTGTTGGAGAATGTGATGATCTCTTTCTCCCCATGCTGAGGTGTCTTCTTTGGGTGAGAGTCATGTGACTTTGCCTGTCTAGCTCTCTAGACGTGTGTTTTTCTAGCAGAGTTGGAGTCATCTTCTCCTCCTAATCCTCTATCGATAGTCTAGATCTCATCGAGGGGTTGCTGGCACTCTCGATCCTCGTGTGGTGGAGCTAGTCCTTGACCAGCAACATACTGTCTCAGCTGGCCACACTGAATAAGCTCCTCAATCTGCCTTTTTAACTGGAAGTAGTCATTAGTGTCGTGACCATGGTCGCAGTGGAAGCGACAGTATTTGTTGGGGGTTTTGGTGCTTAGGATCAGACTTCATCTTTCTGGGCCAGCTGTGCATGGGATCATCTTGTATCTGGAATAGGATGTGCTTCACCAAAACGTTAAGTGGCGCAAAAGGCTATCGGTCGCTCAGAGGTAATGGACTAAGACGGTCTTTCATAGAGACTTTCTCAATTTTTTAGCTTTTGTGCTCCGTCTCCCGCTTGTCTACGTTGATGTCCTTCCTTTTCTCTCTTCCTCGGGAGGACTCACCACTACGGGCTTTGGTGACATCCTCAGTGTTCATATATTTCTATGCCTTAGACAGCAGCTCAGGCATGCTGGAGGGCGGCTTCTTAAGGACGGAGAACATAAATCTGGAGGAGCGTAGATTAGTGATAAAGGTGGTCAGAACTACCTTATCATCTGACTCTTCAATCTGAAGACCCTCCTTTTTGAAATGAGTGAGGTAGTCTCTAAGGCTTTCATCCCTGTCTTCCTTGATGGTGAACATGTGAGTCACAGGCTTCTGATGCCGGTGTCCCCCCAATGAAGTGGAAGACAAAGGATTTACTCAGCTCTGCGAAGGAGTGGATAGAGGAGGGTTTGATCTTTGTAAACCATTGTCGAGCAAATTCCTTGAGAATGGTAGGGAAGGCTCTATACATAATCTCATTAGGCACGTTGTGGAGCTGCATGAGAGACTTGTATGTGTCAAGGTGATCGAGGGGGTCTGTGATACCATAGAAGATCTCAATGATAGACATCTTAAACTTAGTGGGTAAGGGGTAATTGCCTATATCTGCAATGAACGGGGTATTTGTGCGCCTTACTAGGTAGTCCACCGCCTCGGGCGCTTGTGCCTTGATGGCGTTAAGGGCATCACTAAGTTGGTTTTGTACCTCGTTGGGGACATCCTCCATTGGGTGGTTGTGCTGGCATCCATGATCGCTATACTGACTTTCTCCTTCATCCTCCTACGCAGGTACACGAGGAGGGGGGACTCGTGGACTTTCTGCGCGCTGAGGAGGAATTGTAGGGCGAGGGGCGCCTAGGAGCAATCTTGGGGCATTTTGGCGAGGGACCCCATGGTGGGGGGCTACTTAGCGCTCATAAAGGTTAGGGTGTTGCTCCTCTCCCTTTGGAGGGAGTGGCTCTCCTCTGATAGGGTGAAGGGCAACGCCTCTCTGTGTGAGCATCAACTGAATGATCTGCTGGTTTTTTTTTACCAACAACTACATGATTTGTAAGAGTTGCTTCTCGATGACAGAAGTCATTGTAACAGATGGTTCTGAGGGTGCGAGGGGAGGCAGGCCCTCCTCCCGGTGGGCCAATTTGTTGTCTCCCGATTACTAACTCATGGATCTGGTCGTGATTACCATGGATTAAAGGAAGTAGAAAACCTAGTCGTTTTCCACAGACGACGCCAAATTGATAATGCACAAATTGGTCTTGTGCAAAATCAACAGTCGAGTATGTGAAGAGGTGTAATTAATGAACAATAAATAAGGCAATTAATGGTAAACACAATAAAATGAGCATATACACAGATATATAGTGGTTCGATTTGGATGACCTACTTCACTCTCGAAAAAAGGGCAGTAGTAGCCGAGGTCTTTATTGACGAATAAAGTAACCGGGAGAGTATACTCTGAAAAATTACAATATTTAGGAGAGAGAAACTTAGTGTGTAGGGAGGTGTAGAGAGACAAACCTCAAGGTGTAGTATGTTGGGAGAGATGTCGTGGAGATGTGTAGAGATACCTCTCCATGTGGAGGGAGCTTACAATATATAGGTTTGATAAGGCGGTGACATGAGGCGGTGATGTGAGGGAGAAGACACTACTCTTTTGATAAGTACAATTAAGGTATGATTTGATCCCCATGAATATATATCCCAATATTCTCTCTCTCTCTCTCCCACGTCCTCCTATCTTCTCGGTCTCCTTGGATCTTGGACTGAGTCGGATCAGTAATGTGGGTTTGGGCTACCTTTTAGCTGACTTGTGCTTACTTGATTCATTGGGCTTGACCAAGTTGATTTTGGGCTCATCACATATATATAACATTTAAATATAAAAAAAATATCATTTAAGCACAAAACATAATACCATTAAAACATAAAAAATTAGTAACATTTAATATTAATATTTAAAAAAAATAACAAAAATAACATGTTCAACAAAAATAGTAACATGCTTAACAAAAACAGTAACATGCTCAACAAAAAAAAAATAGTAATATAGAACATTGAATAAAATTGAAAATAAAAATAATAGCATTCAAACCCACAACGAGAGGAATAAGCTTTCAATTCTTCAGCATACAAAAAAGTAATAAATGCTCAATAAAAACTAAAATATGAAAAAAAAAATAGTGATATATATTAGTAAATTATGTTTTGAAATTGATATTACTGAACTGATGTTACTATGCTAACGTCAAGTAATTAGTGTGCACTACCCATGTTACATTTTCAAATCTCGAGCGCGTACTCCAGCTTCAGCCTTCATCCTTTTAAAATTGACCTCAAATCTCGAAAGCCGATTAGTTAAATGTATAACAAACAAAATAATGACTAAAAAGTTGAATTTGAAGTATTGTGGAAAGGTTGTAATCAATAATTACCATCGTAAATTAAGTATTTAGCCTCTATACATATCTCCTTATAGATAATGTCTTCAACTTTCCATTACTGACCAAACTAATACTGTTTAGGGTATTTTTGAGATTAAAAAAAATGAACTTAACTCTTTACTAATAAGATTAAAAACGGACTTACCCTTAAATAAGTTTTCTTGACAGACTCAAGGCATTATAAGTCCATTTAGGAGGACTCAACCCTAATTTTCAATTTTATTTGTGTCCCTTAACTCTCATATTTTTCATATTACACCCTGAACTATGTAATTAATTTCACATTGTCCCTCTAAACTATGTAATTTTTTTCACTTTGCCCCGACATCTCAATAATTTACTTCCAAAATGATAACTGACATTTGTGATTGGGGCCATGTGAAATAACCAAAATAGTTGAGGGGCAATATAAAACATTCAATAGTTTAAGGGGGTAAAAATGTAATTCACACTTCAAGTAATTCCTTATTAAGTACTAACTACTAACCTAACCAATATAGGTGATAAATTATGTCTTGCCAAAATAAATATAAAACTTTATGTATTAAAAAAAAGTTGGATCGCCCGACCAGTGCATTGGTCCGTGCAAAAACCCGTGCCATAGGCACAAGACAGGAGTTGCCCACAACCCGACTCAAAAGAAATCAGCTCTATCTCCCAAGATTGTCGAGCTAGCTGACTCGCTTATCCTTTTCAAATTAAAATTCAAAGTTACAGTTAGGTAGTGTTTGAAAAGATTGAAAGTCATTGAATTTTAAGTACTGAATATTGAATTTTTTAATTTGCAGACTATTTGGTATCAACTTAAATTAAGTATTGAATAGAATAAAATTGCTTGACAAATACAAGGAGTCAAAGTGTAAAAAATATTATTATTCTAATTTTGTCTTTTTTTTAATCATTTTTCCATAACTACCTTATTCATACCATCACTATCATAATGGTAGTGATGGTGGCAGCGGCGGTAACACAATGACAGTGGTGGTGTTAGTGATAGTAGTGGTGGTGGTGTCAGCAACACAATAGTGGTGGTGGTGACAGCGGCGACATAATGGTAGTAGTGGTAGTGGTACAATGGTGGTGGTGGAGGCGACGAAAGAGGTGGTGACATAATGATAATAGTATTGATGGCGATACAATGACGGTGGAAATGGAAGTGGTGGTGGCGGTGGCATAATGGTAATGATTGTGCCAGTGACACAATGATGATGGTAGTAACAATGGTGATGGTGGTGGTGGTGGTACAGTAGTGGTGGTGGTGGTAGTGTTGGTGTTGATGGCGATGACACAATGGTAGTGATGGTGGCGGCGACGCAATGGTGGCGGAGATGGAAGTGGTGGTGGCGATGGTATAATGGTAGTGATGGTGGCAATGACAAAATAGCGGTGGTGGCATAATGATAGTGGTGACAGCGACATAATGGTGGTGGTAGCCGCCACACAATTATGGTGGCGGCGATAGTGGTAGCGGTGGTACAATGGTGGTGGTTGTAGTATTAGCAATGATGGTGATGGCAACGGCACAATGGTAGCGGTGGTACAATGGTAGCGACGGCACCATGGTGGCGGCGGTGGTGGTAGTGACGGAAGCAACATAATCGTGGCGGCGATGGTGGTGGTGGTGGATATCGAAAAGTTAAGACTGTAAGATGCATTGGGGGTATATTTTTCCACTATAAGAAATTGATAAAATTTTAATTAACTAACATTTTCAGCATTTAAGGATAAGTAGGTGACTTTCTACTTAAAATTTTGGCCTATTTTTAAGAAATTCTTAAAGTATTAAGTGATATAAATTTTAGGTTATCAAACGAGTTTAACTCATTAATTACTTAAAATATTTAATTTTAAGTTTTAAGTGATATTATCAAACAACCCCTAATATTTTAATCATATGAGATCTCAAGCGTAATTAAATTAAACAAAGAGAAGAGGAAAAAGATTGAGAAGACTTACCCAGTAGAGCAAGCATTGCCAGTAATTTAATCGTGCTCCACTTGGAAATGCAGATTGCTTCTGTGCAATTGCTTCCAAAGGAGAAGGATTCCCAAATGCCAACTTACTGTGCCGCTTTACCAAATTGAGGGCTATGTCTGTAATATTGAAAGGAGGAAAAAAGGGTTAGCTGGTAAGAAATAAGAAATGATAATGGGTTATTTAATTACACTTTGTCGACTCATTTTTATTTCTTCCTTGCTTTCTTCCTGGCATATTTAGTAAATAATAATTAAATCCATGCTTCCGATATCGGTTGAGTTTTATTAATTCTTCCTAACGGAAAGTAGTACTCACCGTAAAGTCCACCATCTATCAGTTTTTGGACCAGTCTAACACCTGATTCCCCTTCAAATGGCTTGGCATCATCGTCTTCTCTGGTAACTTTCATTAAGTAAACAACCATATCTCTTTTGCCTCTAGCAGCAGCTACATGGAGAGGTAGGTTCTTATATTTGTTCTGCAGATAAAGTAGGCAGGTGTTCTTTTCCACTAGCAACTTGGCCGCCTCAGTGTTGCCAGACGATGCTGCTATATGAAGGGCTGTTGAGCCATAGTCGTTAACCATCGCAAGATCATTTTCTGACATCTTATCCACCAGTTTCTTTACAAAATGGTTTCTCGTTGGTGATCTAACTGCCACTGCCAGTGCCGTTTCTGAAGCTCCGGTGATAGTTGCCTTAATTGCATCAGGATCGGGCGCTCGTTGAAAATAAGATTCAGCTGTCTTCCAGTCACCATTGATTGCAGCTTTGTGCAGAGGCAGGTTTGGGCTTAGATCTTTCCCTGCTCCTGCAACTCCCAAAAAAGAAATATAAAGCAAATTATACCTCGCCAACTATGTGTCCTATTTCACATTATCCCCTCAACTCTCACATTTCTTTCATTGCACAACAACTATAGTTATATTGACTTCACATTGTCCCTTCAACTATAATATTTCTCATAGTGCACCGTCAACTATAATAGTAAGTTTTACATTACACAAATTCTAGCCATTAAAGCACATATTTTACTTCACATTTAGACAGTTGTTGTCCAAAATATGTTGGATGTTTAGTTTTGGGACGATGTAAAACTAGTTTAGGCAATTTAGAGGGCAAGGTGAGAAATAAGATGGTGGAGGGGGCAAAATGAGATCAGGGAAATATTTGAGTGGGTCAAAGTAAAAAAAAACAGAAAACAAAAAACAGAAAAACAAATTAGCATTCAATAAACTCGTCTTTGATTTCCAAACACTTGAAATCTTGAACCTTTATTTATTTTATTTTTTTGGAGAAGGAAGACTTGAATCTTTAATCTCAAGAAGACAAAGTCTTTATAAAATAAGAAATATCATTGAACCAAAGATCAATTAGTAAAATCATGAACCTTGAACATGTGGTTTAGGATCAAAGAACCAAGGGCCAAAGCACAAAGAGAGACAGTGACTTATCTATGATAAGATATGATTCTCTTTCTCTTTTGTTTTCTGGACATCACTTTCTATTAAGTTACCAATAATGAGTACTCATTCGTTAGGCATCAGAAGTTGGTGAGAACAAAAAGAAATACTCTCCGGCTAAAACAATAAGCCATTTGGTTATATCTAACTGAATGCTGTTTCATTCACATGATGCTCTTCAGGAAGAGGATTTAGTTAGAAGTAATGGCTCAAGGTCTGTATTTTTCTATTCCAAAGAAAATTTTATGTCTTGCGAAAGAAGAGAATAGAATAGAAAGTGAATATCAATTGTATATTGCATTGGTGTATTTTTTCATATATATGAGGAGATATATTTATAATACAAGATAATTGCAAAGTATCATAGTTTAACCGATGTGGGATAAACATTAAACATATACACACTAACATCGTCCCTCAAACTCAAGGTGATTGAAGGTGTCAACTGGAGTTTGAAAACCAAATCACAAGTTCTTGATCTTTTAGATTTCTCAAAAGAATTTATTGTGAATAGTGATGCACCTGGGTTTGGTATCGGAGCAATGTTAATTCAAGAACGACCTATTGCTTTCTATAGTCATGCGCTACAGAGGAAGCATTTATTCCTGTCGACATATGAGAAGGAAATTTTGGCCTTGGTATTAGCTATACAAAAATGGCATCCATTCTTGGGTCGACAATTTACTGTGCGAACCGATCAAAGGAGCCTTAAGATCTCATGGTCTCAAAAAATCTCGACAGAATCTTAACAAAGGTGGTTGTACAAACTACTGGGATTTGACTTCATCACTGAGTAGTAGAAGGGAAACGAAAATGTTGTGGTTGATGCATTGTTTAGACGAAAAGAAAATGGAGAGTTGGCAGCACTTTCTCATCCGAGTCCTAATTAGAATGAGATAACCGAGGTGGAAGTTACATCAAATTCTAATTTACAAGGCCTGGTTAAGTTAATTAAGGAGGAAGAAGTTGTGGGTCTTTGGAGATATCAGGATAGAGTAGTTTTCTTTAAGAAAGAATTTATCTTGCAGATGATTCTCATCTCCCTTAATTAAAGAAATCATTGGTCGATTCCACAACAATTTCCAAGAAGGTTTCCAAAAGACTCTACGTAGAATCAAATCCAACTTTTATTGGTAAGGTATGAGGCAACAAATCTACGAATTCATTAAGGAGTGTGAACGTGCCAATGTGCAACTTTCTTCAACTAGTCTAATTTTAAAAATTGTACAGAATGAAGCGCAAATCAAAGATCATGTCATGATAAAAGATGGGGAGACATAACCCTATGAACTAATTTTAAAAAATTTCAAAAAATCATGAAAGTAAAGATCATCTAGTCCGAATTTCCGAGAACCCTATTCAAGGTAACAAATTTATTGAAAATTCCACTAATTATTATTTACGACTTTGGTGTAGAGAAAGTTTTAAGTGAAATAGGTTGGGAAATATGAATGAATTTTTCAATCTAATAAAGCTAATACAATAGAAATTTAAGAAGCATGTGAAGTTTAAGTGAAAACAAAATTATTGCACAAGTGCCAACAAGAAAATGAAAAAAAAATTAAGATAACATACGATCACTTGCAAATTTATCATAAGCCCTATTTCGCAAGGAGATGACTTTGAAGATTCTTGCTATTTAAGAGGCAGTATTCAAGTCCATGTAGTTTCTAATAATTCCATGAAGCCTACCTATCATAAAGTCATTTGTAAGTTGATAACTTGGAGATAAAAAATCAAGTTTAAGGGGGTTGTTAAAAAATAAACTTGTTTTATGAGTTATATTTTACTATTAAGTGGTTCTAATGAGTGTGTTAGTAGACGAAAACGTGTGCTAATGGTCTATAAATATACCATGTAGTGGATGAGTATTTTGTGCTAGTGATGAGATATTGTAGCAAGTAGTGGAATGATGGTATTTTAAGTAGATTAGTGGTCATATATATAGTGTAGTGTAGAGAGTGTTAATGTAAGGTTTGGAGTTATGTTTAGAATTTATGGATAGAATGAGTCATCCTATTGAAACATAATTTGAGGGTATAATGATTGTGGTCATTGAATTGTTGGCGAATCTCAACATTGAATACACTCTATAATCAATGCAACGATCACAATGCATTAATGACATGTTTGAATTGGTTTTTGTTTTTTGTATTTTTTGTTTTTTGGGATTGGATTGCATTTATGAAGCCTTTTCAAATCTTTACAAATCCAACCCAAAGGATTTGTGTATGATAGTCAAACAAAAATCCTATCAAATTTCACATTTGGTAAGTGACATAAATACATGTGGGGTCTATGAATTCATATCAAATCATATCACTTAATTTACTAAAATATCTATTATTAAGTGAATAGAAGAAGAGAAATGCTACATAAACTTAAAAATTAAACTTGATAATTATAACTATTGATTTTATTGTGAGTCCCAACATTTAATGAGACTCAATACTTATTCAATGGTTGTGATTATCAAGTCTAGTTTTTAAATCTAATTTTAAGTTCATATAACATTACTTATAGAAAAAATTTTTGAGTAAAATCTTTTTATCTACAAATCCAATCTCTCACTTTTGAAACTCACCCCCCATGGGTTTCATCAAACCCCCATACATGGATTTTTATTCACCATTCATTGCGAGCCTGAAGCGGGTCGATATTCATTTACCTTATGAATCATGTGCCTCAAATCTTGGACCAAACATGAGTTAGAAAATATGCATTGGACTATTTTACCAAAAAAAAAAAAACCCACCCTCTAATTCTCATCCAAACTCACATACCAAATAGGCGTTTAAGTCTTTCAATTATGTCCTTAAAGTATGTCTCAATAACATTAGTGATATAAAATAGGTATCAAAGTATTTGAGTAATTAAAGTTGAGTTGAGTAAATAGTTTAAATTAAGTATGTGAATTGTAATCAACCGGAGTATTAAAAACATTTTATTCTGAGTGTCGTTCTCCTCCTCTATTTCCTTCCATTATTTTTTTAATCACTAAGTATGTGAGTAACTATAAGTAATATTGTAGCAGATCTTAAAAGGAATATGGGATATACGAGAAAGCCTTAACCAGACTTGTAGAGTGACAAGGCCATGCGGATCGGTTTTTTGGGGAAGGGAAGTGAGACAATTGTTATGCCGGTCATTTTCTTTTCCTTTTTTGGTTTGGCCAATCATAAAGGGGTAAATAACAAATACAATGGTGATTCAACGTCATACCATTGTTAACACATGTCATCACCACACTATTGCAGTAATCACAACATGAAACAACTATCACATTGCATTAAATATGGTTTATTGGACCTATTTGTTGTTTTGTACTTAGTTGATTGATAATACTATGTGTTTTGTACTTAGTTGATTGATAGTAACGTCTAACTATCTCCTAAGAATAGAAAAAATTATTACTCAGCTGAATGAACGGTGATGTTAGACCTCGTAAGGATGGTGTTTGGCATACATATATCTCGGAGAGTTCCCTTACCGATTTCAAACATTTCTTCTAGTGCTGTCCACAAGTCTTTGGCAGTTTGAAACCTCAGGATCAACATATAGATAACTTCACTGACCATCGCTAGGATCCATCTTTTTAACAGCCCGTCAGATCTTTGCCAGTCCTCGTAATCCGGATTCTTTACCTCCTTCGTGCCATTGTCAGAACTATCATCAGCGATTGTAATCCTCTGTGGAGGGGGTGTTATTTTGCCATTGATGAAACCATCCAAACCATGAGACTCAATGAGTCTAAACATCCTTGATTTCCACGAAACGTAGTTAGTTTGGGAGAGCTTGATGCTGACCAAGTCTCCCACATTAACCTCTGATGGGTATGGATACTCTAAGGAAGCCGAATCCATCGATGGTGATTGCAGGTTTGAAAGTCACCTTCAAGGTCAGTGTCTAGCTCTAATACCAAGATCAGAATGTTCAATGGGAGTTCTGGGTCTCTGTCACAACTACGGCGCATTTTATAAGTCCTCTGTGGAATCTTCATGCAGCTCTGAAGTACAACAAGCAAGTAAACTACCTAACAGTAGAAATCACAGCTGCCCCAAATTTGGGTCTATTTATTGGTGTGGAGGTACATAAAGAAGGAATCTGTGTATTGAGGAATCAATGCTGGAAGGTTCTGTGTTTTTTTTTTCTCCCTAGACGCCAAGTATAGCATTTACATCTTTCAGAATGCCTTTGGCAAGGCTGACACTAGGCATAAGCCATTAAAGCCGCCGCTTAGGTCCTCAAATAAGTCAGTAAGGTCTTTGAGAATAAGCTAACAGTTTACAGGTAAAGAAGTAGACATCTTAAATTTAAGTCTACTCGTTATTTATAGTGATCTCTTATGGGGTTTTCATGGTCGGCTTAATAAGGTGGCACACCTATTTTTTTTTTTAGTTAAATCTTCCTTAATTTGTGTTGAAATCTTTCTAGACTTCTTTTGTTATTAATCGATTATTTAGGCCACATGTTTTTAATGTGCTCCTATGATTTAAATAATTTCCTTATTTGTTGTCTAGCATCGCTTCTGATTATTCGGGATAGCCTAACTATCTTTCTACTTGGTCTCGGTCCTTAGCGATGCCTAGGTTTCATCCTATCAACAACCTCGAGTTTCTAGGGATAACTTAGCTATCTCTTCTTGTTTGGATAGGGCTCATTCCTTAGAGGATATATAGCCAAATTCTTTCTTGAATTCAAGTCTCGCAGTATTTCTTTCTAAGCATACTTCATCAGATTTTGCCCAGCATACACTTTCTTCCTCGGGTATGCTTTCCACCGAGCATACCACTTTCAATTGATTTACTTTCAGGTCGGCCTTCTACTAAATATGTTTGGCTAAAGCCAAAGTCTGCTCGCCCAATCTACAGTCTTGTTCAATTGATCCTTTATCGTTAGGCCTCTAATTGTTAGGTCGGAACTTTACATGATTGATCACAATATAATCACTCTAAATAACTCTTTTCAGTATGTGCCAACTATCACGTGTCCAAGTCTACTAGTCAAATCATGATAAAAATTTTGATCCACATCAAAGTCAATAATGGTTTGGATAATTGCAAGTTTCAAGTTATTTTTAATTGCGTTAAATAAACGGGTTTTGGACAGTTGGATTACCACTAATTGATTTAAACTCATTAAAATGCCTATTTAAGCTAATACGATCTATCTCCACAACCACCGTCTTTACAATAGCCACCACCGTATAAACTTAGCTATACTAATATAGTGGTCAACCACGGAGTTCTAATGTGGACTCCAAAATTTAAACCTTTAACCTCATGACGAGGAGTTCGACCAATACTCATTGGCCAAGCCCACTTGGTGGTCCACCGTATGATGTGTGCTACCCCTTGTGCTTAACCTTAAAGGAACGGACACACAAAGTGATGGCGTTGTGGCACAAAGTTTCGTCTTTATTTGCTTTTCTCTTTTTTACCATATTGTTCAACTGACTTTGTTTATCAGATAGGATGGTTGTGGTGTTTTCATTTCTCTTTATTGTTAGATGGAATGCTTGTCGGCACTAATATGCCGGGAAATGGAATATGTTTTTGTGCACAAAACTACACTGCCCAAAGCCATTCTAAACTTTTCGTACCCCGGTGGAAATGACTTATTAAAGCTCCGAAGATTGTGAACATATCTTAGACCAATATAGTTTTTAAATTTGTCAAACTAGTACTATTTGAATTTTAAACAACTTCTTCTGCATAAACACTTTGTTTTAACCTTAAGAGAGGTAGCTCAAGTGATTAAAGAGACGAATTGTAAACTCCGATGTTCTAAGTTTAAATTTTGAAAATTCCTTTGAAACAGACAATAAAAAATTTATGTTTCATGAATATCTTAATTCCGACGTGAATTGTTAAGAATCTCAGTTCTATAAATCAAGTCGAAAAGATATCTTAGCTTATCCCTGTCTTGCTTCACTATTGCTCTGTACCACTTTGAAGTTCGCATTCCATTGTGTGACAAAAGTCCCCATAGAAATCCGCTGCCAGAGCTCCATTAATTAATGGTCATGACACTTTAGTTATTTTCGTGAGTTTGAATCTTAATAACTCTTCGAGTTTAGGTGATAAGACATTTATCTCTCATGAAGACTCTAGTTTTCGGTGTGGATGATTTGTTTTGATCGAATCAGAGAAAAAATTAATCAAGATGTACATAAATTAATCCAAATAATTTGACCGTTGAACCAATTAAATTTTGCGGAGAATTGAGCTGAGCTGATTTAAAAATAAACATATCCAAAGGCATGTGCTAATAGTCACATGAAACATGCCAGTCACAGTCTAATAAAGTGGGCTTGGCTGTGTCTTTTCGAGTTTATGACTCTCACACACACACGGACTCTAAGCCTAAGTCTCTCTCTCCCGTTTGTTGGAGGACGCCCTTGGGTAAAAATATTTACAGATGAAAATTTTAGTCTGTAATTGTCTTGCGGTTGTTTATTATATTTCGAGGGAAAAATAAAGGGGATGCAAAATAGAAATACGGTGGCCCATGATTATTTTGTCTGCAAAAGTTTCCCTAGGAATATATTTATAATGATTGAACACTAATCTAGTTAACACCAACTTTAAGATAAAGAAGTTACAATTGTTATGGATGTGAAGATATGATAACTTACTGTCTAGTTAAATTCTATGAAGCATGAGATCGAGGGTATCTGCCTGCGCAATGCATTCCTTGGTTTGGCAAAAATTCTTTTTTTTTTTTTTTTCTTATAATGAATTATTGTGGAAAAAGAATTAGTGTGTTTGACCATTGCATGCACATTATCTTGGGTGTTTGCACTTGATGCATAGATTACACTTAGTCGCAATTACAAATGCATAAACACAGAAGTTTCATGAACATAATATCAATCTATCTCATTTCACCAGCATGGAGCAAAGTTAATGTTTAACTGATTGTTACAAAATACTCTAATGTGAATTTTGGACGAAGTTAGCATGGCTTCTCCAGAGGTCTCAATTGTCAACCTTCATTTGTCTATAACATGAACAATAGGTTGAAGTACATGCTATGAACAATAGGTTGAAGTACACATTTTTAACAGTCCGCTGAAAATAAGTATATTCTCCAAAAGAAAACTTCAATATCATTCGCTCATGAATTATGACTGATACAGACTTGATAAACATATTTGTATAAAGTCTTATCATTATTTGGTCAACTTAATATAGCTTACGGTCACCTTGCTTACCAAAAATGCCGGGTCCACACGTGGATTTGAGCATATCGAAAAGGAGGGGAAATTGTAAGGACGCAAACAAGGACACAGGTAGACATGCTGATGTAGCCACAGGAATGAGAATCCATGCTTTTTTATGTCCAAAAACAAGAAAAGTTGTTGCTCCGAATGCTACCACCATAAATATTATGGAGAGGAATAGGGTCACAAGACCGACAAGTACTCTAATCGGTAGCACTTTGAGAAAATCATCTGCTTCATAGCGTGAAGTAAGGATGGACAAGAACACTAAGACAGAAGAACTTGATAAGACAAGAGCAATTGCGTCCGCTATTGCAAAAATTATGAAGGCTTTTTCTTTGGAGAAAACTGGAAAACCATTGTCACTGTTATTACTTCCTTCATTGTTTCCACCTGGTACGGTAATCGTAGCTGCAAATACTATGGTAACAATTAATGCTGCTACAATAGTGCATGAGGTGGAGGTGTCTTTCATCCATTTCCCACCTTCTTTAATCAGCTTCTCATGCGTTTCGCTAAATAGCTCCATTGGTGTCTTCCCCTGGTCATTTTTCCGTTCCTTGTCTTGAGGTAGTGAACATTTTTCTACTTCCTATATATTGTAGTGGGATGTTGGAATTAGAAAACAAGCATGAAATGCATCTACTAGTTCTTGACGATTATCCACGTGGGGCTTACTGTGTAATTTCAAATAATTTATTTATATTAATTAACAAAATTTTATTCAGAGGCATGTAAAGAGTGGGGTAGTTTTTATTACGATAAACTGGTCGGAGATAAAGTTGACAGACAAAGAGTTATAAACTAGCAATCCTAGATCATTAAAAGCAAGGGACACATTCTATGTGGAGATATTGGTAACTAAACTGAGTCATATACATTTTTTTCATTGCATATCCAACTATAATCACTGAATTTTTTTTTGAACAAGTATAATCACTGATTTCATTGTCCTAATTGTAGACATTGAAAACGTGTATTTTACAAGCATTTTTTATCAAACATATATCGGCCATTTAGTTCTTGTACAAAATTAAAACTAATATAGATAGTAGAGGGGCCTGTATGAGATATTCTATAATTAAGAGTACAAAGTGAGATCACAGTCATAGTTAAAAGGGGGTCATAGCATGGTTTACTTAAAAAAAGGACTTAATTTTAGTGGTTAGTAGAATTCCTTTGTGTGGAAAATAATGAGTAAACTGTAAAAGGGTAGATGGCAAGGACCTGATTTTTGGTTTCTTTTGCATCTATACAACCGTGTTAGTTTTCATAAAAAAAAACAAAACTGATCAGTAATTAAATAGCAAAATTCTTGTGTTTCGAAGTTTTTAAAGATGTTTTAATTAATATTTCAAAAAAAAAAATCATCAATTTTTTTGAACTTTCCGTCAAGTTTTTAAAATAGTTACAAAATATATCCATTTCCATTACAGAAAAGAAATAGATGGCCAAACTAATTATAAGAGAGTGGTAAATATTTTTAAGCTAATGAAATTAGAGTTAGAATTGTAAAAGGTGTTTCATTACGTACCTTAAACCATTGTATTTCACGTTGCATCTGTAGAGCTGCACCAACTGCACTAGTTTTGATATTGAATTCTGAACTTCTTTCCAAATATCCAGCCAAATGTAGACCATTGTTTCTCGACATATCTATCACTCGTAGAAACTGGTGGCCAAGGTCCTCAAATTGATATATGAGATTGAAAACTCTCTCACGACGATTCGCAATTGCAATATGTAGAAATAATTGCTTTTGCTTGTTTAGAAAG